TATATATATATATATTTTTTTTTTTTTTAAGTAGGCTGCACTCTGGGGGGGGGGGATTTGAACTCATGACCTTGAGATCAAGACCTGAACTGAGATCAAGTGTCAGCCTCCTAACCAACTGAGCCACTGAAGCACCCTGGGACCATAAAACTATTAAGTAAATAAAAATACAACTCAGGATATTTGATGTATATATTGCTTAGGTAGTTCCTTCCTGGGCTAATTCTATCAACATAATCAACTACTACTACTGTTTGAAATGTAGCCAAGGGGTACCTGAGTGGCTCAGTTGGTTAAGCATTTGCCTTCTGCTCAGGTCATGATCCCAGGGTCCTGGGATTGAGCATCGCATCCAGCTCCCTGCTTAGTGAAGAGCTTGCTTCTCCCTCTTCCTGCCTTTCTCCCTGCTTATTTATACTCTCTCGCTGTGTCAAATAAATAAATCTTAAAAAAAAAAAAGGAGCCAAAATAGTACTCAATCTGCCTCCTTTCGTCCTACTCCCATAACTTAGAAGGCCAAAGGACATTGGGTTTATAGATTTACATTGGAACCTTGGCCACAAGGCTTAGCCTAGAAGTTCTTTTGACTTTCAAAAACTGATTTTGTTATCGTGTTTTGAGATTAGGGTTTGTCCATTCCACTAGGTTAAAAGTTACACCTGAGACCATTATTCTTTGGATACATAATAAATTCACAAATGTTTTCTTAGATGCTGCAGCCCTGAAGGGTTCATTTTAAAGCACCATAGCAAGGATTTGGGAGTACATTTTTCCTCCACTTCCTTCCTTGGCCTAATTTCCTGCTTAGAAATGTTTAATTTTATACTGAAGTAGTAATTCCCAAAACACTTGTTTGCAACATGAATTGTTTAAGGATAGATCATTAAACAGGGTTCAGGAGAGGTCAACTCCTCTATGAATGCTTCAAAGAACAAGAAGGTAATCTTAAAAGTGGAAAATATTTAAACCCTGAATTTCAAACAAAGTGAGCATGATTTTCAGAGAAATATTCTTAAAACATTTAAAAGCAATTTCAGAGAAGTATACATTATTTAATTACTCAATCAAATACACACAGTGTAATGTTTGAAGCCATTGTATTTTGTGCTGAGACTAGTATTTACACAGTAAATACTTAGAGACAAAATATGTAACTTTTATTACCAATGAAGAAGGTGTACTTCCAGTCAAAAACCTTTTGAGTACGTAAGTCTTAAAGCATCTTGTGACTCATCCTACACATAGTCTCAGTATTAACTTGTGGGACTTCTAATTACAGGTAGACATCCTCTGCCACACTTCTAGTAACCTGTTTTCTACCACCTGGTAAGTATGAGCTCAAGGAATTTGTCATTTTTAATGTTAGTCAAAAACCAGTTAGAACATGGGCACCTGGGAGGCTCAGTCGGCTAAGTGTCTGCTTTCAGCTCAGGTCATGATCCTAGGGTCCAGGGTGGAGCCCTTCATTGAACTCCCTGCTCAAGGGGAACCCCTCCACCTGCCCCCCCCAACCAGGCTCATTTCTCTCAAATAAGTAAGTAAAAAATATTTTTTTAAAAATAAGTAAAATCTTAAAAAAAACAAAAAACACTGAGAAGACTTGTAATACAACCGTAATGCAAAATGTAAACGATTTTGCATTTTCCATCATTGCTCTATTTTTTGGTTGACATGTAACTGAAAACTTAATTATCCCCAAACTGTTATTTAATATAGATGCATAAAAATTTAGTATTGTAGCAGTTAAACAGAAGCTTGGCAAACATTAACAAAAATGAGATATTTAACACAGCATTAATATGTACTATAACTAAGCATGCAAGAACTTTTGACAACTTTATGGGATGATTAAAACATCCAGATTAATTTTATAATTTTTACATTCACGTTAAGATGAATAATGTCCAATAAAACCTTTATCAATTGATTTTAAAACGCTCTATTTCGGAAATTAAAAAAAAAAACCAACTATCTAATTCCTCTAGATTGTTTTGTAACTTTGAACACTGACTTCAGGAGAAACTTAGGTCACATTGAAGTTACTGGTACAGTGGCAATTCTTTTCATAGCATATGTTTGCATCAGTGGTAAGTGAAAAGTAATGGCAACTGGAAAAAATAATCATGATGGATTGGAAGTTAAGATTTTGTATTCCATGGCTGCCTGGGGTGGCTCAGTGGGTTAAGCCTCTGCTTTTGGCTCAGGTCATGATTTGTCCTTGATCCGTCCTGGGATCAAGGCTGGGACCAAGGCTGGCATGGGGCTCTCTGCTGCTTTAGCAGGGAGCCTGCTTCCTCCTCTCTGCCTACTTGTGATCTGTCAAATAAATAAATAAAATCTTCAAAAAAAAAAAAAAAGATTTTGTATTCCTACTTATATATGCACTCACATGTTTAAGTGTACACACACACACACACTAATGCTGGCCAGCCATTAATGTGAAAATCATGACCAAGGTCTAAATTTAAAAAACTTGGCCAAGAGGAAATAAAGATGTCCCCAGTAGAAAAGTAAATATCTAAGAAACGTTTCTTTTCTTGCCTCTTTTCCTGCCTCTCACAGTTGGCATCTACCTTTGGATGCCATATAATTTGACAGCATTCTTAATTATTCTAGCAGGTTTATAAAATAACATAACTCTAAAGAAGCAAAAATTTAGAGAACCACACATTGGTTTTCTTTTGGGTTATTACCTAAGTTAAATAAGTCTTCTCAAGGATCAAAAGCTAATTAAGTGATACTGAATTTTAGCTTTTTGAGAAATATTCAGAATCAGTGATTTAGATTAGATGTTTTGTGGTGCTTAGCTTCATAAAACTTAAATACTCCAAAGGACATTACCATTCTATAATTTACCTCGAAATTCCAAAAGTGAAAAATTTTCAAATCTCATTGAATGATTAAAAGAGAAATAAACATCATTGGTTAATCCATTCTATTAAGGGCACATGCTAGCTAAAAGATACAGAAAAATCTAATAATCTTGAATTAATAGATCCTGATATACTTGCATTCAAAAAGTTAAGAATCTCTGATGTCTACATTAAGGGAGTTCTTATAAATGATTCCTACTTATAATTGTATCAAAATATAAGATGCTCTTGTTGTATGTGTAGGGAGGAACCTAATACAAACGTAAGTAAAACCTCCAAAAAAATGAAAAGTTTTGATTTTGGTCACGCAAATGAAGACCAAAGTCCTTGAGCTTCAAGTTCTGAGACCCAACACCCACTGTCTTATTCTAAGTACTTGGATAATATTCACTAACACTTTGAAACAAAATAGCTAAAAGTCAATTCCTTCTGTATTTTGTTCAAGTATCTCAGTTCAAAAGGCTATTTTATAAATCCCATATAAAGAATGAAACTCCTAGCTTCACTAGTTTTTTAAAGCACAAGTTTCAATTTAAAGACCTGCATCGAATGCAAACTTTTCAGGTTTATTTAAATATAAAGAATAATTAAAATATTTTAAAAACAGGTTGTTGTTAAAAAGGAGCCTTAGTAAATAAATAAAAGTAGTTATCTCTGAGTCCCTTAAAAAAGTTAAGAGGGAATCTATTAGGCAAGTACATTTTTATCCTATGGACTAAACTGACCATTGTTCCTTACCAACATAAGCTGCTTTATATACTTATTAGATAACCTCACCCCACCCCACTCCACCTGAAAGGAAAATTTACTTACCATTGTTTACTGAATAATTATAAAGACTACTGATTAAAAAAGAAAAAAAAAATTCTACCATCATAGGTATTTTAAATATCAAGAGCTGTTTTCCAGTCTCTGACAAACCATTATCTCACAAGGTAATGAAAAAGTACTAGAGGCCCCCCAGTGTAGCCCATTTAAAACAAGCCTCACTAAAACTATACCCCAATGTGACATCAGATCCTCTGTAGTCTTGAAGGACAATTATCAATCTTTAGTTAAAGGGACTCATGTAATGAAAACAATTCTGAGTACCTACATATTCATCTCATCTTAAAAAAAATAAAGTTATGTTAGAGGCGCCTGGCTGAAATCAGTTGGCAGAGCATGCAAATCTTGATCTCAAGTCATGATTTCTAGCTCTACACTGGGCATAGAGATTACTCAAAAAAAAAAAAAAAAAAATCAACATAAGAGCTGGAATGAGTAGTGGAAATCCAGCTCTTACAGCAGACATTTATCTATTACCCTCAGCTGAACAGCAGCCGAATTTGCTGTGGAGTGAGTGTTTCCAGGTTTGGGGTAGAAGAGAAAGGAGATAAACACATCACGATATGATGTAAAGTATTTGTTACTGTTGTTTTCATAGAAGGAAAGATTTAATCAGTAATTCAAAATGCTAAGAATTTGCCAATTAACTATTTACTTCCCTTAAATTTAGTTATATTCTGAAATGCAATCTCAAAAAAAATTTCAACTCTGTAAGATGCACAGGAACACAGAACATGTTTAATGGGAAAAAGTAAAAATAGCTTTAAGTTAATCAGACTGTTAAGATGTATCAAAAACCTGTGTCCTAAAATAAATGTGGCAAATAACTTTAAAAAAAGAACTTATATTTAAAATATTTAAACAAAGCCTATATGATACATAGAATTACATTAAAGACTATGGTATAACTTTGGATATTGTTATATGCTTAGCCCAGTTTCCTAAAGAGTAAGTGCATGCTTTCCCTCTAAAAACTGGAAGATGCACTATTGCCATGGGGCAAAGAAATCACAGGGGAACTGGACATTGTAAAGGTTGGAATGTAAAGGTTAAATCACATCCTTCAAATCCTCTAAATTCTAATTCCATCAACTCTGAGTTAAGCAGGGCCTTTCCCCACAGTTATGACATGCATACATATTTGAATACAGGCACAGAAACTTGTCATTTTTATTTGGGTAACAAAGGGTCTCCAAATTATATTGAAAAATAAGTCCTAATTATTATCACTCCTGTAAAAAAAAAATTTAGCACATTTTTCACAAATGATTTATGTAAAAGAGAAGAAAATACACATAATTTTATAATATCTTAAACTTTTTTATTCCCTACCAGAGACATTTTGTCTTCCGTTTTCTTTCAGTTTTCTACAATTTCCAAGTTGCACCTGTATTTAATACTGCTTTAATCTTCTAAAGACATTAACTGATTGCTTTCCTAAATCTAAGGATTATATAGTTTTAGTATAAATATATATCACATATTTTCGTAAAATTTTGACAAAACCGAATAAGCATGCCTTGTTTTAAGTCCATGCTCCTTCCACTGTTTATAAAATCTGATTTAATGATCAAAAATTCTTGGTTGTCATTCTTCAGTTACAACAGTCTTCCTTCTGAACTGCCACTCACTTCTTTTTACATAATGACAAGCAATAGAAAAACCAAAAATTATCTTAATCTTAGTTCTTCCTTTTGACACTATAAAATAATGTGATTTTTTTTTTTTAAATGAAACAAATACATCCAAAACTCAATACATTCAAATGAGCTATCCTTCCTTTTAGGTGGTCACCTTGGAAGGCCATAGTTCATTATCCTAACTATGCTACCACTGCTCAAAATACCTTTCAAACTCTTTTGGGATTGCCTTCAAAGCTAGCTGCATCCTTTCTACTCTTACCTCAAAGATTAATTTTTGGAAATTGTCCACAAAGTCATTTGGTGCCAAGTGATGGTAACCATAAAAAAAAATCAAGCCTGATAATACTTTTTGTTTTCTTAATGTGAGTCATAAACTTAATAGTGTGTATGACTTAAATTAGCTCTGAATGCAATTATAAAAGAGCAAAACCCAAGAGGTTTTGAGCAATGGTAGATTGCTGGAGTTAGGAAATAATTTTCCAGCATGATCACTATACAGGGTAACATTCATTTAGCTGTCTATGTTCTGGCATATTTGTTTAAAGTGAACATTCTGAGAGTTAGAATTTATTTTTAAAAAGGAATATCATTCTTAGAAAAAAAAAAAAAGAATTTTATTCCTTTAAAGCATCACTGTCAAAGTAAGTACTATGCAAGTGTTTTGTTAGAAACTAGTTCTCCTTACTTTATCAATAAAGACTACTTTAAAAAACCTGAAAGCAAATAACCAATTTACTTGCTCCCAGGCTTTTTAAAATCACTAACTGAAGATAAAATAATCTGAAATTTCTAAGGTACTAAAAAACAAAACAAAAACCCCAAATGTAATAAAAACACATCAAGAACCAAACTACAATTTCTGAGCTGCACTGTTTATTTTGCTGCTTGAAACCTAAGTGACAGTATGCCACTATAATTATGGGGTTTCATCTAAACCTTTACTACACTGCAGGTACAGAAATATATGGACACATTTTTGGAGAATTGACATTTTGCAAAATGCAGCAAACATTTTAATTTATACATGAGAAAAGGAAGTGTTCAAAAGGGTATGCATTTCAAGTTATTGCAGGTTATTTGTGAGAGAATTTCTGCAGGTAAAACATGTTTAAATTTAACCAACAGTAACATGTCAGTGTATTTAAAATCATGACAAAAATCTTCTCTCTGGTCATGTTGCCCATGACAAATTACTATGATGTTGTATGTTTAGGGCAAGATGTCAATACAGCATAAATCCCATGGCATTTTGGTTTTCTTCTGGAGATTAAAGCTGTTTTTCTTGGGATAAATGCAGCAGCAAAACACAAACCAGTTGATCAAAAAAAGCACTTCTGCCATAACTCCAATAATTTTCAGGACACATCAACCGACAGTAGTTTTGCCATTCCCAGTTCTTTTAAGGATTACATCTCTGCACTGTTGCATTAAGTACGTCTGTGAAAGCTTGTTCTCTGTTAAGCCAGTTTACTGACTACAGCCTGGTTGAGAGAATTTAGTTGGTTGGTCCATTTATCTAGTGCAGTATATCGGGCACCACCCCTCTTCTGATGATCCAATTCAAGGAGTTGGTTGACTTGATCAATTCGGCCATGAATAGTGCTGGAAATAAATAAAAGACATATCTACAAACCATTTTCACTGACTGTAATTTTTAGACTAATGTTTCATAAAATACGTACAATGTCAGTAAATGCAAAAGAAGAAACTGCTGCCTCTACTAAGTGACCCAATTCAGGATTACTTATTTCATTCACTGCCTTACTAAAACTCTACAGAGAAACTGGATTTCAGCCACCTTTTATCAATTTCACTAAAAGAATCACTAGGCAGAGACTTACCTGATTAATTGAGCAAATGTAAGCTTGTGAAGCTTTGAATACCAAACTGCTTTTAAGAAACATGTAATTTCAGAACTATTACATACCATACCTTATACTTTAAAAACAGGAACCCCCCCCCCCCACTATTCATTAAATAATTCTCTAGCTGGATATGGGACACATAAAGAATGAGAAATCTTTCTGAAAACCATTTACAACTTTTTCAGAGATCAAGGGCTTAATACGCTTACTCATCCACAAAAAGCTACCATGCATACATATGTTATCTCTTTTAACAGAAAATTATAGCCAGAGGGTGCTTTTTGTGAAAAATCAAGAATTCCACTGCTACCTCTGCTCCCAGTATTCAAATGTTATGGCCCTAAACATTTTGTGATAAGAAACAGCCAAGTACTTACTTATCCAATATGCACTGCACCAGCAAGCTCTCCACATCAGCTACATCTATGTTTAACTCCTAAGACAAAAGACTTATTATAATTCTAGTAATTAACTTCTTTAAATACTTTATGATAAGGAATAATTATTCTGATTTTAGATTCATTCCCACCACTTAAAGGAAATTTAGTGTAAAGAAATTTAAGACGAATTTCATTATCACCTCAAAATATTTCTGAGAACACAGGTCTGACCAAATTTAACTTTGTAATCTTTAAAGTATATTCTTACCACAATTTTATTGTGGTTGGGCTAACACTACATCAGTTACATATTTTACCCACTACTCTGTCTTCTACAATGTTCTTTGAGGCTGAAGGAATCTTTAAAAAGAAATGTAATGATTCTTTATTTCTCTTTACTGTTAATTTACTCCAAGAAAACACAGAATAATTTGTTAAAGGGAAAGCCCTAAGCTATGCTGTATTTTGCAAATGCAGTATCAAATGTTACAAAAAATAATTTTTAAATACACTGCATTTATAACTACAAATTTAGTATTAAGATCCATGAATATAAGTACCTTAGAAATAAAAGGAATATGTATTCTTGTGTAAGGCTTAATTAATTTTATGAGCACTTGTGTTCTGATGTTTCGCAAAAGCTCTGAAAGACAAAAATGAAAACAAATTTAATAGTCTGTATATCTGCATGAAACATTATGTACTGCTAAATCACATTAATTAATTATATCAATTTTTTTGTCAAAGTCTTTCTGCCTGGCAAGGACATAATGCATTTGGGTTTGTTTTTTTTTTTTGGTTTAAGCAAGCTCTATACCCAACATGGGGCTCGAACTCCTCACCTCAAGATCAAGAGTAACATGCTCTACTGACCGAGCCAATCATGTGCCCCAGACATAAGGTATTTGGAGCTAAAAATATTTGGGTCCAACAGACGCACAGTAAGATTAGAGGCTGACTTTCCCATAATTTTTCTTGTTCCCACCTCCCTGATTTTGCCTATGTTGTGATGCTACCTAAAATATCCTCTTTGCCTTTTCAATAAGACTCTACACTGCTCATCTCTCCTTTATAGTTAACATCTTTCAGGAAGCTCTGATTCATGCCAGTCAAGTCCCTTATTTTATGTTTTCTCAAAATCTAAAGTATTATATTTTATACAATGATCGTGCAATTTTCTCCCATTTCTTCACAGACAAGCGCCTTAAAAAAAAAAAAACGAAAAACTAGACTGGAGTTCATGCACAAGGCTTCTAAAATTTTCTACATCCACCAAGTGTAGTACCACTCTAGCTTCATACAAGAACTTTTAAAATGTCTGCTGAATGAAAGAGAAAGGAAGGTGGGGAAAAAAGAACATTACTTCCAAAGTATTCTTCGGATTTTCCTGATGCATCTGGAATTTAAGTATTTGAATGAGTTGTTCCAAATGGTCATTTAAAAACCCTCAAATAGCTCCATAACAGGTGGGAACACTGGAGGTACAAAAGAGGCCCCAGAACAAGGAATGATTTTTGTCTTTGTTAATCCAACAGAACTTATTAAAAAATCTCATACACTTACTGGTACATTAGCCACCCTTCAAAGTAATGCATCTCTGCATCATCTATAGCAGACTATTTTTAAAGTTTTTGTTACTTGTCCAAAATCCTAAAAATGAATTTTGAACCTAAGTATTAGTAATAAACATGCAACAATATCTAAGTTAGAATAAAAAGGACAGACAGCCACGTTAAATGAATTGCACATCATATAAGAATTTGATTATGTTAATAAATAGCAGGAAACTGGTAGATGATTTCTTTAAAACAGCTTTATAACTTTAAGTAATATCCTATTCCATGACCGCATTTAGAAACATTTCTATACTCGGCAATACACAGAGGAAAACTGGTTTAATTCCGTGCCACTCCCTCAAGAAACACTGACTGACAGTGGCAAAGAAGGTAACTGAATTCAGTTAGCAGAAAGACTATACCTTCAATGTGTTCCCTAATGAAAGGATCATCCATGATGTTGCTGTGATTTGTTTTCAGAATCTTTTCAAATTCAGTGATGTCATTATTCTGATAGGCACTAAAAGGAAAAGTACAAATCTTGTCAAACATGGAGAAGTCATGTATTAACTCAGATAATCCAAAAGCCTACTTTTTTGCAATAATCTAAATTACGTTATAGTTTTTTATATGCAATAATCTAAATTACGTTACAGTTTGTCATAGAAATCAGAGTTATATACACACATCCTTCTGCAAATAAAATTAATTTCTTTTTTAATGTTTTTGGTTTTATAAAGATTAAATAAATCTTCTTTTGGGGGTCAAATATTATATTTATATATATTCATTAAAATCTCAAAATCTTAACACTGTTAAAAACTTACAAATTTAAAAACTGTTTAATGCTTGATACTTTCAAGTTAAATTGTGCATTTATCATTTAATCCCCTAAGAAATTAGGTTTCATACATACTACTGTATGGAGGAGTTTGGCCTTGTCTTTGAACTAAGATACTACATTCTCTCCAAAGATTATCCAGAAATGCAGCTTCCTAATTTTTATCTTCTAGAAAGCTACCAGCAATTGCCAGAACTCTGCAAAGGGAACATTTGATTCTAAATTTTCTCTAGCCTTAAAAATCCCACTGAGTTATATAGCAGAAATATCAGTGGCAGGTAGTTAGTGCCAAATGGGACACATACACAAAGGAGAATGTGATGGACACTGCTGCAGAAGGCCAAAGGCTGATTTATGTTCATAATTCTCTGAGGTGTCTACTATCTGCTCTTAAAATAACTCTGTAGGACACTATGGGGATTGCTAAAGGTGCTGAGAAGGAAGAAGCCAACCTTCTGGATATGGCACCACTGTCTGCTTTATATGTAAGACATATCATCAGCCATTCTGCACGCCCTCTGCTGTGCTTCCATCTGTTGGGTCGCAATGTAACTTCATGTTAGGGGCAGGTGATTCAAGTGCTTCAACAGGAATTATTTTCCTCTAGTCTGCTGGCAACTGACTAGGAAGATAAAATTAGGAAGCATTACTTTTTCACCTACCCCAAATACATTATTGCAAAATATACTACAGGAGGATATATTCAAGTAGTGAAACACTTGCACATGTGTATATTTTAACCAAGAGACATTCTTCCACTATTTAAGTGACTTAAAAAAATATATACAAAATGTGGGACAACACAAGCCACTTGCTTGGGTCGAAATTTACCATTAAAATAAATTGAGTTCCAATACAGAGGTTTTGGTAAATTTTATGATATAGCAAATATATAAGTATAGCTATTACCACTTAAATTTCTGATAAATCAGCCCTTTAGTCCATTTTAATGTATTTAACCAATTTAATTTAGATGAAATATTAATGTCTAGTGCAAAACTCTCCCTCAATTTTTAAGAGTTTTAAAAGTTTAGTTGTTGCTCAACAATTTAACTTCATAAACATTTTTCTAAAGTATTATGAAGTGAATCTCTAACCAAATCATCTTTTAGTTAATGTGGCTAAATGCTGAGGAGTAAGAAATCTTCTTTCATAACTAAAATCTATTTAATTCAACAAACTGAGAATAAAGAAATAAACAATAAAATAATATGGTATTTTTTAAAAAGTAGGCTCCATGCCCAGCATGGAACCCAATGTGAGGCTTGCATTCAACCCTGAGATCAAGACCTGAGCCGTAATCAAGAATTTGACCTTTAACCAACTGAACCACCTAGGTGCCCCAAAGAAACTGATTTTTTAATGTCGCAATTCAGAGTTCATATCTCCTATCTATTCCTAGTCCCCTTACAATAAATTCATTCTTATTTTTTACAGCTAAAATTAAAGTTTCCTTAAACCAATCAACCTAGTAATTTGTAAAACCTATAGCCAGATAAAAACAAAATAAATGAAGACATTTTACATAGGAACTCAAACAATATCATGTAATAAGCTATCTGCTCCAAGTATATAAAATTTATATATGGGTGACTAACAATTTATAGTCTAACAGTACTTTTAAATCATAAGAGACTATTTAAAGAATGTTTTATCACTTCCAGTATCCACATACATATGCAAAAACCCCATACATATCCACATACATATGCAAAAAACCCTCTATGTCCCTAATATTCTTCCTGCTTTGGTAGACTCGGCAGCACAATTTAAAACAAAAGACATGAAAAAACCTATGCTCCATTTATTCCAGCCCAGAGGAAAATGTTTCTTACTCACTGATTTCTTTTGCAAAAACAGGCCTTCTTTTCTAGGCCTTTTGCTTTATTTTCTGTATCTTATTTAATATTAATTGATCATAGCAGGTTTTTCAGTTGCTAACCATCATACCACAGAAGTCATCAATAAATTCTTGGGTTTCTTAACCAGTATGACCCCTCTGCTCCTCACCTCAAAAAATTAACTGAGGTAAACTTTTTTTAAATGATTTTTTAAACCTTATTAATTGAGAAAATATGTGAGTAAAGGCATTGTCTTATTGAAAATTTTTGATTTGTGTGGACCAATTCATAATTTCATTTTGGAGTAAGAGAGGTAGAAACAGCAAACACTGTGAAATTGTTTTAAGATATCTACAATCAGTCTTCTACTGAAAAACAGCGCACACACAAACATGTAGATAATAAAAAAAGCAGCCAATACTATACTACATATATCAATACTATATAAAATCTTGGAACTAACAGAAACAGAATAAATGACTTAAAAAAATAAAAATTTCAAACTTTGGAATATTTCAAACCTAAATACAAAAGAGTAAATTTGGTGTATTAACTGAATTCTCAAAATTTCTCTTCCTCTTTCCCCTCTAATTCATTGCTTTAAGGAAATTTACCTTAACCGAAATATAAAATCTTACCTTACTAAATTTGTCATTGCTAGGATTTCTGGGTCATTTTTGTATGGTTTGGCCTAAGGAAAAAAAACCAAAAATTAACTATGCTATATGTACAAAGAAAGAATAACATTTATTTCCAGAAAAGACAGGTGACAGACATGAACAATTAGAACACACACATACCTCCTGTGAGTCAAATGGATTTATTCCTGATTTCATTAGCATATTTGCTAACACCAAATATTTTAAGCAAGTGGTTCGTCTTGGACTTCCCGATTCATCATAATTCTTGAAGGCTTCAAAAAAATCAGTGTGTGCCTTTTCAAATTCACCTTCTCTCAAGTGCATTTTACCACCACATTCTGTAAGAATAAAAACAGGATAAAAGGGCATTTGCAGTTCTATAGTATGATTGAGCACTTTATAAAAATCAAATGAAAACTATGACAGTGGCTTTCCAGTCTTTTAATTCCGTAGACTGAATTTTACTACCCCAAGGTACTCACTTTAATTTTTTTTTTTTTTGTAGGTGGGGGTGGGGGTAGAAGGGGAGAGAGAGAATATCTCAAGCAGGCTCCACTCTCAGCATGGAGCCGAATGTAGGGCTTGATCTCACAACCTTGTGATCATGTGATCATGACCTGAGTCAAAATCAAGAGTCAGATACTTAATCAACTAAGTCACACAGGTGCCCCAGTACTCACTCTAATTCCAAAAAGCAAGTCCTTCATTATAAACATCAAACAAGCATTTGCAAATCTTTATTCTTAGTTGACACAGAAAATAATTTTATGTATATCACTACAATTCAAGAACAGAACCTTTTTCCCCCCTCTCCCAACCACCCCCAAGTCTTGAGAATAGAACACGTGATGGTAAATTTTCTACTGAAGTAGTTCACTGATGTAATATTTTACAAGACAAAAAATTCAATTTCTAATTCTAATTTCTTTCCAAGACTACATCATTTCATTGATTTTTCTACTTTGCCATTTATTTTCACTAAAACAGAAAAAGCCTTCGGAGTCATTCAGTCATATCCAGTGACACCATGGCATCTTCCTGTGACAGTGCCCACCCTTCTCCAAACAAAACTTGCCTCTGATGACTCCCATGATCAGTGGATGAGGGATGGCGGACTTGATGTGAAGCGACTGCTCATAGAGAGCTTTAAGTTTTTTGTTATTCTTCTGTGCCGTGTACATTTGAATTTCCAAAGCGTATATTTCTAATAACTGTGTACCTTTTTTCAGGTCATCCTCTCCATCATCAGTCTAAGGAAGCAAATAATGAACTTTAGTTAAAATAGAACTCAGTTAACCCAGTAATTTTTATTTGAGTTAGCCTGAGATCCTTATGTTTATAATACTAATTCTCTATGAACACACACTACAAATTTTAATTAAGATCTAGAACATTAAGAACACTACCTTTAACGGCCAAAAAGGAATGCACACATCCTTTGTACTTTCTAGTCATTCAATAAGGAAAAAGTGACCAGAAGTATTTTTTAATGTATAAAATGTTATAATGTTTGTTTCTACCTAAGAGATTCTTTATGGTCTTCCCCAAATCTTCACAACTACTTTATATCCACTGATTTGATCAAAAAGCACTTCCAAGTGCCTTCCTAATACCAGGCACTAGGTCTAACGTGGAGAAATACACAGTTAAATAAGCTAATGTTCCTGGCCCCAAAAGTTCACAACCTAGAAGATTAAGCTGTAAACAGATAAATTATAATAATGATTCTATTTGAAGTGCCCAGAAGAATGGAAGAGAAAGCGACTAACTCTGTTGATGGATGTCAAAGGAGTTAACAAAGGTGGTAACATTTAGTTCAACTTTGAAAAATAACCAAAAGCCCACAAAATACATGCCATGAAAAATAGCATAGAGGTAACAGGCAGATAATCATAAATATCAAGCCCTTACACAAAGCCAAAATTTATTATTTATTTGTTCTCCCAAAAGAATTCTATTTAGTCATTAAATGAAAATACATGCAGGTGATTAGAACACTTTCCTGATCAACTTTTTTCCCATTCAAAGAAATGACATATACAATTAAAATAGTACATAGCATAGGAAGAGGTTTAAAAACATTTAAAACAGTATTTCCACATAAATTTTAAACTAAAATAACTTATTGATCAAGACAAAAAAGGAAACACCAAATTGTAACTGCAGTTAAAAAGTTATAGAGGTGCACTGTCCCAATCATGTGGCCGTTCAAATTTAAATTAAGTAAAATTAAAAACTCAAACACATTTCAACTGCCTGATGACATGTAGCTGGTGCTATCATATTAGTGGAGACACAGAATATTTCCAGTTTCTAGCATCATATGAAGTTCTAATGGACAGTACTGTTACAGAAGATTCATATACTATGAACTAGATATGAAATATCTTTATTACGTCTCTAATGTTCTTTCCGATTTTCACATGGTCTACAACTAAATATGAAAGGCTTATTCCTAATAAGTATTAATGACTAGCCTATTTGTTTATGGATACCTGTGCCTCACTCCACAAAAATAATAAACAGGAAGAAATGTAATACACAGAAAAAAATAGCTTCTTGGTGTCTTTTTGCCAAATTTTATTTTGGGGATGAATCCTGAACAAAAACATCCCTAAGTAAAAGTTTCAAATATAATTATTTTCTTATGCTTTTTTTATCATGAAGAAATATTAAGAAAAAACAAGAGAATGCTACCTGGCAAGACTGATGTAATTGGCGTAAAATTTTTTGAAGCTTTCCATATTCTTCTCGTTCTAAATATAATTTCCCAAGCTGTAAAAGAATATACTTATTAAAATTAAAAGATTTTGACAGGAAAAGGCATGAATTTTTAGGACAGTTTATTAAGGACGCCCTCCCATTCTTCAAAAAAAAAAAGGTAATTGTAATTGTTACCTTTGTGTTTGTCTTAAACCACAGTCTATCATTCTTAGCATCTTTCAAAGCTTCCAGTGTTGTTTCATAGAATTCCTGCAGTAAATCCATCTGACATAAAAAATCAGAATTCTATAATTGTAAACAGCAAATTTGTACCTGTTAATAAAGTTAATTTGAACAAACTAAAAGTGCATCTTTGAACTTTAATACACATAAGATACCCTATCTGTTTCTGAATGTCTGTGTCAGTCTATAATTTAACAAAACCTTAGCAAAACAGAGACCAGTTTACAAAAAGTGCCAAGATCTGTTTTTATGTGAGTTTTTAGAAAGTAAAACCCAGAAAGAACCCAATGCTCTAATAGTATGATTTGTCTTTCTCAATCTAGTAACTCTTTTTATATTGATGGAAATGAATGACAATACACTTTGAACTAGTTGTGCTGTTATTAATATAGTGTATATCTTATTCACTCAACTCTCATTTGGTACCTATGTGGCAAATACTAGGCAAGCAGCTAAAGAAACAAAGAATAAGCTTCCCTCCAAAATTCTTCTACAAATGTAATTAATCAAGTAATCAAACTACACAGCTCTTAAGTTACTGGTAAACTGTGGAGTTATGTAGAGGGTGAAGTCCAGCACAATTTTAGCTGTGTCTAAACACCATCAATTCACCAATCTAAGTGTGACATTTTTTTATGGAAATCATTCTATTTTGCATTGTGATAAGCTCCCTTACCTACCTTCTTCCCTCCACACTGGGCTCTGCCTTTGTTTGAATACCTGATTCTCTCGGTCTCTATTTAACAGAATCAAGAGCTAAGAGGGCCATGGCAACAGGAAAGCTTAATACTTTCAGAAACGGCTGCCTATCTATTCATGACTGCTGATGGCATACTGAATGAGTACCACCCACCTAATATCTATTCTTACTTTCAAAGACAAACAGCATACACATAAGAGCACAAAGCAAAACACAATCTTGAAGTTTGAAATTAACCCCCCCACCAACATCTGGCGTAACATTTATAAATAGTGTACCAAAAATGTTTTGATGACACTTGTTCGTAAAACTCAGAATATATTTCCCCACATAAGAAAAGCCCCCCAATATGTAACAACTCTATAGTGCCATTACTTACTAATGTTTTAACAAAACATATACAGTTGACGCTTGAATAACATGTTTGAACTGTGTGGGTCCACTTATACGTGGATTTTTTTCTGGTAAGTACCCACACAGAACTATAAATGTATTTTCTCCCTCACACTTTCTTTTCTCTAGTTTATTGTAAGAATACAGTGAACACATTATATACAAAATATGTCAATCAATTGTGTATGTTATAGGTAAAGCTTCTGGTCAACAGCAGGCTATTAGTAGTTAAGTTTTTGAGAAGTCAGTACTTATACCACAGATTTTCAACTGCACAGCAGAGGGGCAAAGGGGAAGGGCTACCACTAACCCCCATGTTGTTCAAAGGTCAGTTTTAAGTTTATTTTTTTCTCTATTTCCTTTACATATATTTTAGATAGAAAGAGTAAGAGTAATAAACTACCTCAAGAAATAAAATTGACATCTAGTAGAAAATACAGAATGAGATTCTGAGATGAACATTGTTTATAATGAACATGAAAAGTATTAAACATTTTAAGAAATCCTAAATGAATGGAGAATAAATGACAGAGAGTACTTCTTATGCTAAAATATCATGGTGTTTAAGAAAGTTATGTTGCTTAAAAGAGTATGAACAGCAATCCAACTAAAAATTATCTTAGCAATACAGTAAAATCATTGCTTTTCTTAATAACCAAAATCTAGAATAACAAAAGCACTATCCTTCCCAAGCTTCACTGTAGTTTCTTCATCATTAGCCCTTTATTTTATCATCTAACAACCACCCATTCTTTGTAAAAGCATTTACTAAACACGTACCAAGTAATGCCAATTAGTAATATGAGTACAGGGTCTCTCAAGGATCTTTTAATCAAATCTACACAAATCTAACTGAAGTGATGATGGAGTTTATTGGAACAAACTATGATAGCAACTATATGGGAGTTTAAACCTATAAAAGTTGTGTGTGGATTACGTACCTCAAGATAGTTTTTGAAGAGACTTAGCTAGTTAATTGCCTTTTAATATTGTATGATTAGTACTATAATTAAGAAAATAGTATTTATTTTTAAAGCACATTAATGCCCAGTGTAACTATTTAACTAGAAATCGCTACACCTAATTAAGAAAAAAAAAGAAAAAAAAAAAAAGAGAAAAAAAGGAAACAAAGTCTTTAGTATAAATAACTACAGACAGTTGGATGGGTTTGTTATAATAGTATAAGTAGTAACATACTGGTAATTACCAATAGGAAAAACCAGAATCTAACCTGTTTAGAAGTGGAGATATAATCAAGAATAGAATTAATGGATTTTTCAGAATAATTTCTTGTGACTGCACTCCGAATATAGGTCAATAGTTGCTTATATCTATTCATCATTTCTGGAAAGTTTGTCTGTCAGGGAAGAAAAATGCATTATTAGATATGTATTTAGGTGCTGAAACAGCTACATGATTAAGACTATAGCACACACAACTATGTAACTGAAAAATAAAGTTTTATGATAGAGAAAGTATGCATGACAGAAACACCATAAACATTTTAGCTTAAATTTAGAATTTCTAGATTACTGACACATGAACCAAATTACAAAGTTACCCTGTGAAAAAGTACGATTTACAGATTTTCAAAATTTCAGATACTGGTCTCATTGCACAACAAACTTTATTGAAATCCTAAGAACTACTAAAATATTCACAGACTAGAAAATATAAATAAATCCAATTTTTCAAATGCCTTGGGTACCAACTATGCAGATTATCAGCTATATCCTCTACTGAAGATTTACCCCTTGATGAGAAAGCTCTCTAATAGTGATATGTTTCTTTTTTCCCTATATTATTGGTTGGCTCAGTGATAAAATGTGAAGTTGAAGGAATCTTTTCAAGCCCCGGTACTCATCCCACTATCAAGAAAAGTCCTCCCACCCAAGGCTCTACAATGGTAGATGTAGCTAATGTTGCTATTCCTTGCAGGACTATTTGTACTACTGTGGTTATTCCAGGAAACATGAGAGGTCTGAGAAATGAAGAACTACCAAATTTTCAAAACTTAAGTATTTTGGTGGATCCTCCCTCAAAGTATATCACGTAAGTCAATTTATGAGTCTAACCTGATAACCTGTATCCACACACAGTCCCCACAATCTCCAACTGCTACTAATCCTTCTTTTTATTGGGTTCTACTCTACTTTTAATCAGGGAGGTGGAGCATTGGTAGATACTAGACTAATAGAGTATGTGTATTTATGAACCTGAGAAGACTCCCTGAAATCTAAGCAAGAAATGAGTTACAAAAAAGAAAACAATAGTTGGATAGGTGGGGAAAAATGGACAGAGCAATGGGAAAAGCCTGAGCAATATATATCAAACTACCTTATTTCCAAGTATGCCAGTACCATTTAAGGGCAGATAATAGGTAATGTTCTATCAATGAACTGTTGGGTTTTAAAACTGAAGTTACAGAACATTTTTTTTTTCTTTTTTAAAGATTTTATTTATTTATTTGACAGAGAGAGATCACAAGAAGGCAGAGAGGCAGGCAGAGAGAGAAGAGGAAGCAGGCTCCCTGCAGAGCAGACAGCCCGATGTGGGGCTCGATCCCAGGACCCTGGCAGAGGCTTTAACCCACTGAGCCACCCAGGCGCCCCCACAGAACATTTCTTATGGCAAAAGGCAAATCAGAAATGGACTGTCCTAACTTTGAGATTGTGTTTGGATACTGAAATAGGATTTTAGCAAAAAGTTAGTTTTGAATTCATTTTCTTATGCTCTAGTAATTTTAAAGCTCATTTTTCAATAATTCTGTTATTGTATTTAAGATTAAGGGAAGATAAGGTAAATTACAGTGGTGAACACAGAGCAGTTGATAACAAACCCTTTCAACTTTTTTTTTTTTTTAATTTTATTTATTTGACAGACAGAGATCACAAGCAGGCAGAGGGGCAGGCATAGAGAGATGGAAGCAGGCTCCCTGCTAGCAGAGAGCCTGACGTGGGGCTCGATCCCAGGACCCTGGGACCATGACCTGAGCCAAAAGCAGAGGCTTTAACCCACTGAGCCACCCAGGTGCCCGCCCTTCAACTTTTTATTGCTCAAAAGCTTCACACAGCAACATGGGTCCTATTCTGAATCCAACTAGAAAATGAGGGATAGACGCTGAAACTACTATTCACAGAAGCTGTTTGAGAAAATAAAACATAGTGAAGGAAGGTAGGCAAGGTAACACTAACTACAAATAATCCTTTCCCTTACATACTTCCCATCTTGGCTCAAGGTAAAAATGGTAAAATCAAGTCTTATGGGTAGCATATATTTAAATGGGCCCAAAAACTAAACCATTGTTAGTAATGTTAAGACCGCAGTTTTCTATAGTCTTGGTATTATTTCAAATCATAAAATCTTAAGACTTGAAGCCCAATGTTCAAGTCAAGACTAAAATTGTTTAGTCAAAGTCCCTGTCCCTTGAGATACCTGATGCTTCTCCCACATCCTTCTAAGCGATTAATTTAAATACAGTAGGTGTTTAATATTTTCACAAATAATTAATGGAAAGAAAGCACAAAGGCTTTCTTTGTGCAACGGAGAGATACTTTCTGAGAATATCAGAGCAGAACTAGAAAGGGTGAATTCAAGACAGACATTTTCCCTTTAACTATATATAAATGCAATATGAAATATACTTATTAGTGTCCAACATTTTTTGAATAGTCTTGATATTTTGGGGGGAAGAATGAGCTAAAATATTTTGTGGATAGTTTCTATAAATGTCATGGAGGGGTCCTTTTGAAGGAGGAGTCCTTCTGAAGATAGGTGAGGATGCCAAAGAGTATGTCAAGAACAGGATGAAAATTAGTGCAAGTTAACTAGACAAAGGTAACAGTCAAGTCAATTCAGGGAGTTCAAATTCAAATATATGGGATAGAGAGGTTAATAGGGAGAGGGAGGAAACATACGAGAAATATATAGATAAGAGAAAAAAAAAAAGTAATAGACTGCCACCTATCCTTCCATTTGCCATAGAAGCACGTCCTTACCTCTGCTATCTAAGCTCCACTTTATCTTTTTCTCAAAAATTCCCCTATCCTTAATGATTTTAAAGTTTTGTCTGTCCCTACTCCTCTCATCTTACCATTTATTTTCCCCTCCACCTCTACCCTGCACTCTGGAAGACTAACAATTCTATGAGAGTACTACATCATGACAATGCCAACAAGATATTTGAGCACCTACTGAATGCCAGCCACTATTACAGGTGATAGGAATGTGAACAGGGAATAAAGTCCAACTCTCATGGAGCTTACAACCTATGAGGATGAGGGCAGTAGAAAGGCAATAAGTTAAGTAAATGGATCAAGGGGTGATACAGTCAAAAGAAAAAAAAACAGCAGGGTAAGATGAATATAAATGATGATGGGAAGGATGTGATCTTATATAAGGTAGTCAGAGGAAGGCCATCTTGATACTTGGTGACCCTGAACAGAGATCTGATCAAACAATAAAAAGAGCCACATGGCTAATCGAGAGGAGAATTTGGGGCAGAGGAAACAGCAAATACAAGTGTTTACAAGTAGCAGCATGCTTAGGATGACATGAGGACAGCAAGGAACACAGTGAAGGAGAGAACAGAAAATAGTTATCAGAAAGGTAGCAAAGGGGAAGCAGACATAGGGCCTCCTAGGCCATGGTAAGGATTTGAATTTTATTAAGGAGAGTAGGAACCATTAGAAGATTCAGAGCAAAGGAATGATATAATCTGACTTAACATTTTAAAAGGATCACTCTAAAAACAAAACCAAAAGGATCACTCTGCTGTTGTGGAGAACAGACTATTAATAAGGCCAGGATAGAAGGAAGAATACCAGTTAAGAAGCTACTGATACAATCCAGGTTAAGAGATGAATTTTGGCCTGGACCAGACTAACAGACATAAAAATGGTTAAGTAGCGTTCATATATGAGATGTATTTTAAAGATATTTAAAGACACCTCAATTTACCAATGGATTATTGGAGGGGAGAGAGACAAAGAGAGGAGTCAAGAATGATGCTAGTTTGGGTACTTATCACTGGAAGTGGAACTCCCTGTATTTAAACTCCAAAATAAACACCATAACTTGTGGAAAAATCATTCTGTTAACAGTGCAGCCAGATACTCTCTATATATCTATAGGAAAAGTTCTCTTAAAACAGAAAAGTTTGACTCCTATGTACAATTTTTTTAACTTAGTATTACTGTAGTCACAAATGAAAAGTAGGCTTAAGTATAGAAATATTATCACCAGAATTATCTTAAAGAAGTAGACAGAATGGCATTTTGTTGCCATGAGGTTTTTACCCACAGAATTTATTTTTATTATTAGTTTAATTCCCCTCAAAACAAATCTTACCAACTTGAAGTTAATCTTAATCATTTGCTTCAGTGCTTTAAATCCCCATTCTCCTTTTTCACCTTCAAGTTCCAAAACCTAAAAAAACAGAAGACATTTTTCATCTAACTTAATGCTAATGTTATTTTCTAGTTGACACCAATGTCTGTTTTGAATTAATTTTACATCAAATGTATGATGAACACTTCCCCCAAAATTCCACCATTTCTCAATGCCATTTTTAAAAGGCTTTACAAAAGAAACGTGTCTTAAAATGCTTAAGGATATGTGAGCTTATTTTGAAGTTTCTAGAACTACTGCTCAATTATTTTACAATCCCAGAAATCCTTTTTCTCCCTCTGAATAATCCATTGGTAAGAACACCCCAAAAGTTTATTAGTCATCAAGAAATCACATTATTTAATAGTGGAACCACACCTGTGTGATCTGTCCTCCAAAAAAGGAACAAAATTGTAGTATTATCCTACAGGTATTATCCCAATAGGTATTATCCTATTGATCATCATGGTGGTTTCCTTCTGCCAGAACCATACTAGCTTTCCAGGACAATGGCCCTGTTTTATAGATAGACTGATTAGAAAAAACAATAGTATATCCCTTTTAAAGTATCTGCCTGTATTGCAAAATGCAAACTTATTTACAGGATTAACACTTAGTACCCAAAACACATTTCTGAGGTAAAATTCTGAGACATCATTTGAAAAAATAAACTTTAAGAAACAGAATCAATCAGAAAAAAATATGAACCTTTTGAAAACTGCTTAATGCTGCTTTTGGGTCATCTTCTTTTAGCGCTTTGGAATTATAGTACTGATTTTCCAAATCCACATTTGGTTCGGAGTTACTATCTTCAGAGTATTCCTGTGTGTTAGAAAGAGACACTAAAATGAAAAAGAATTCAACACATTGCCCTGTTAAAAAGTGAGTACTGTTAAGACAGAAAAACCATACATTTATACAAAACAACTTTACACACATAGGTAAAATGCCACTGATACTTAATCATTATTTAAAAAACAGGTGAAAGAGCCAAAATCAAGTGAGGAGAATGGAATCATTTCTTTCTTTCAGATCAAAACTACAATTTCCATAGAATTAACAAAAAAGCAAAATGTACAAAATACTCATTAGTGACCACCAATTTTGCAGTGGTTAATTTTCTGGTGGTCACAGAACCCAGGAAAAATCACCATAAATGTTAATTACTACATAAAAGCTAATTATTCATCTTAAGTTCTGTAATTTAAATTTTTCTACTCCTTTAGTCTATATTTCATTGTTCTAATATGGCCTGACTACCTAGGATGGTAATCTATATGTGGCAGAGCAGTTTATTGCTAAATATAATGATACGTTAATAAGAATACTTGTTTTATGTGCACTCCACATAGCTATTATTATATTAATGTACTTTAACTAGCTTCATAACAAATCAAATTAAGAGCAACCAAATTTAAACAACTTTATTTGACTTTCACCATATAAATTCAGTTCTTAGTACTGAAACAATAAGTAGAAAGAAAAATTGGAATAAAGCAACTATTTTGTGAAGCAGTATAAACAAGAATTTAAAATAGTTTATAACAGTTCAAAAGATATTCAACTTAATGATGAGGATTATAAAACATAAATAGCTTAGTAGACTGAAAGTAGTCATTATTTTAGGAAGACACAAAATTATTTCCATCAGCTACAAATCATTACAAAAGGCAAAATGTCAAATTAAGAACGGTACCTGGAAGTAAACACAAAAAGACAAGAAGAGTATTACAGAGTTATTTCTAAATCCAAATACTTAGTAATTTTTTAAGAGATATTCATCAAAAATCTGTAATATTTCATAAAGGACAAAGAATGAAAAAAAGCATAGTGAGTACAGTGCTAGTGAGCTCAAAAATACATGAATACAAGATGAGTTTTTTCTGTGATAAGAGATGGAGGAGGATGTTTGATGTTAGTATAAAACCAGTTTTATCTGACCACAGAGGCTTTGTAATGTGCACCCTCTAGAGGACAATTATTTCCTTGTGTAAGGACATGAAGCACGGATGCAGTCTTCCGGATTTGATTGGGAATTCTGTTTAACATGAAAATCCTTTGTAATACTTCTCTTTGGGATGAGATCAAATTCTGGGTAATGAATAAATTTGATAATCAATCATTCACTTCTTGACCCTGTAAGCTAGGTTTGACTATAACTGATCAAACCAGAAAAGCAATTAATAAAGACTTAATAAACAAGAAAACTATATATCAAATAATGCTGTGAGAGTGAAGGCTTCTGAGCTAGGTTCTGAAAGATAAATGGGGGTTTTTGCCTGCTAGAGGAAACAGGAGAGGGGAAAGAGAACAGTAGATATAAAACAGCATCATGGGAGGTGACTAAAGAACTAAAAGCAGTCACATTGTTGGAACATAAAAAGTCCTTACTGATTCTAACTTCAACATAAGTCTCAAATTCATGCACTTTCTTCCCTCTCCTTTGCTACCACCCTAGTCTACCAAGCCACTTCCATCTCTCCACAGACTTTCTGTTATCATTTTTTTTAAAGATTTTATTTATTTATTTCACAGACAGAGATCACAAGTAGGCAGAGAGGCAGGCAGAGAGAGGAGGAAGCAGGCTCCCTGCTGAGCAGAGATCCTGATGTGGGGCTCAATCCCAGGACCCTGGGATAAATACCTGAGCTGAAGGCAGAGGCTTTAACCCACTGAGCCACCCAGGTGCCCTGTTTTAAAGGAAATAAATCATATGCATAGGGATGAAGAAGTGGAATGTGTAACATTTTTTGCATAACTGCAACTCAATTCTTAAAGAGTATTGCCAAAATGTCTAAGTACATAAGAACTGGTGTTCCTGACTGGCATTCTTATAATCAGGCAGTCCCTTGTTATGATCTGTAACAGCATACTCAGAGGGTTTGAACTAGCCTCTGTGACATGACTACCCTGTCATATGCAGTTCAATGAATCAGTACAAGCTGTGTACTACAGAAAACTCTTCTTCGTTATTAGATTATTTTGAGAAATCTTTAGAATAATTCTGTTGTTCAGATATCTACTGTTAGATACCTATTTAGATACTAAGTGATAAGATCTTCAGCATAGGAGCACCTGGGTGGCTCAGTGGGTTAAGCCTCTGCCTTCGGCTCAGGTCATGATCCCAGCGTCCTGGGATTGGAGCCCCGCATTGGGCTCTCTGCTCCGCAGGGAGCCTGCTTGCCCTCCTCTCTCTCTCTCTCTGCCTGCGTCTCCGCCTACTTGTGATCTCTTTCTCTGTCAAATAAATAAATAAAATCTTTAAAAAAAAAAATAAAAAAAAAAAAGATCTTCAGCATATACCAGCAATTAAGTGTTGCTCCTGCATATGCAAATTAAATCTTTCCATAAGCTACTCATGATCAGGGACAGATATGCAAATGAAACAGCAATGCTCTAACACAATAAAGATACATATTAGGTATACCAGCAGCTCAAAGAAAGGAGTGAATTACGTCAAAAAATGGGCAGAAGACATGAACAGACACTTCTCCAAAGTAGACATACAAATGGCTAACAGACACATGAAAAAATGTTCATCATCATTAGCCATCAGGGAGATTCAAATAAAAAAACACATTGAGATACCACCTTACACCAGTTAGAATGGCCAAAATTAACAAGACAGTAAATAACAAGTGTTGGAGAGGATATGGAGAAAGGGGGAAGCCTCTTACCCTGTTGGTGGGAATGCAAGTTGGTGCAGCCACTTTGGAAAACAGTGTGGAGATTTCTTAAGAAATCAAAAATAGAGCTACCCTATGACCCTGCAACTGCACTACTGGGTATTGACCCCAAAGATACAGATGTAGTGAAAAGAAGGGCCACTTGTACCCCAATGTTCACAGCAACAATGGCCACAGTTGCCAAACTGTGGAAAGAACCCAGATGCCCTTCAACGGACGAATGGATAGAGAAGATATGGTCCACATATACAATGGAATATTATACCTCTATCAGAAAGGATGAATACCCGACTTTTGTATAAACATGGATGGGACTAGAAGAGATTATGCTGAGTGAAATAAGTCAAGAAAAGAGTCAATTATCACATGGTTTCACTTACTTGTGGAACACAAGGAATAACACAGAGGACACTGGGAGATGGAGAGAAGTGAGTTGGGGGAAATCAGAGGGGGAGACAAACATGAGAGACTGTGGACTCTGAGAAATAAACTGAGGGTTTTGGAGGGGAGGCAGGTGGGGGTTAGGTGAGGCTGGTGGTGGGTATTGTGGAGGGCACGTATTGCGCAGAGCACTGGGTGTCGTGCATAAACAATGAATGCTGGAATACTGAAAAGAAATAAAACTAAATTAAAAAACAAAAGGAGTGAATTAGAAGGAAGTTACCTGAAGCAGGTCTAAAAATATGAATAGGAGTTGCCTGGGGATTAGGAAAGGCATCTGAAACAAAGCAGTTAAGGTGTGCAAAGGCATGGAAGCTTGAAATGATACCGCATAATTCAAAGAAGCATGGATAGTCAGATTGGGCTGAAGCACAGGATGTGTAAAAGAACTAGTGAGAGAGAAACTAGTTATCAGACAGAGGAACACCACAACAGAAGTCTAGCAGGGAGCTTAGATCAAGTGGAGCCACTAAATAATTTCACGGGTAAATAATCAGATTGTGTTTTACGAAGAGTCATCTGGTAGCAATGAAGTAGCCCGCTGGATAATCTTACGATTATCTGGCTAAAAGACGATGGAAGTTTGATTCCAAGTAGTAGAATAGGGAGAAAAGGAAGGATATACAGTAAGTACAGAATATGTCAAGAGATGTTTGGGATGTAAAATAAAAAGGACCCACAACATGGGCACGGGATAAAGGGAAATAAAAGTTATCACTAATGACTGCGGTGCCTGGATGGCTCAGCTGTTTTGAGTGACCAGCTCTCAGTTTTGATTTAGGTCATGAGACTTGCATCAGCTCTGCACTCAGCACTGAATCTGCTTGAGATTCTTTCTGTCCCTTTGCCTCAGCTCCTTCCCGTGCTCATGCTCCCTTTCCCACTCTCAAATAAATAAATAAATAAATTCTTAAAGTTATCTCTAATGACTATTGATGACTTGGATATACACAGTGCTGTTAATGAGAATAGAGACTATATAAAAAGTATTAAATATTGTTGAACTCAATTCCCTCATGTCAGATGAGAAGGATAAAATTATAATTTGTAAAAGTTTAAAGAAAATGCTTTTAAAAAGAGAAACTGGTATTTTAATATATTAAGAATGTTTTAAGAAACAAAAAAATTAAGCAATATATGAAAGAAGCCACATGAACATTGTTAAAAGGATTAAAAGCCTACCTAATTTTTAAGTTCCACTTATTTATATAATAACTCATGTCTTAATACTCCCCAAAGCAATTTGTGATCCATGCACACACCCAAATCTATTCTTCCTTCCCCACATGTACCACACAACTCAAAATCTCTGTATTGGCATTAACTGTCCTCTGCTAGGAATTCTAAATTACCTCCGCTCTTAACAAACTTCCCACTTTTCTCCTATGATGCTTCCCAGCCCTAACAGTCCTGGAAGATGTACTCAAGGCTTACCTTGTGGTTCTTCCTCCAACTTTACTTAGCAAAAGAAATTTTCTCCTTAGTCATGCTTTTACAGGACATGCATCTCTCTAACATGGAGCCTTGTTGAGTGTTTTGTTCCCACCTCCCCTCACCTTACTACTATGAGTTTCTCAAAAGGCAGGAAGTTTCTCTTCCTTATTTTGGCATCCCCAGAGTCTGTTATAAGACAAACTGCTCAATACATGTTTGTTTACCTGAAATGAAAAGTGGATGAATGTTCCAAAATAACAT